TGTGCCTCTTCGGCCAGTGGTACTGAGCTTCCCAAAGATGAAGATCCGCTGAGGTTTAAAGATGGGAAGAGAAAGACAATCCAGCATTACAGCAATACTCTGAAGCTGAGCATCTTCAAATATAGGAAGATACACGAACAAGACTTGGATTGTTTCTGGTGTGAAAAACATCTATCGGGAGTGTGCTATGGTTATACAGCACGCAAGTTTTATCTTCATCAGGTGTGCAGTGATAAGATACCAAGGAGACTTGCTCATCCTTTTCATCCTGCCCACCCTCTTCGCTTAAGCTATCTCGATTTTGGTGGGGTGGACTGCAATGCTTGTAATAGTTATGTTTCTCATAACACTTGCTATAAGTGCGAGAAGTGCAGCTTCTGTCTTGACATGAACTGTGCAAAACTCTTGCCCACCCTAAAACTTGCCTGCCACGTTCACCGTCTCGCTTACTTCAGAGATACTTCTAGGTTGAACTGCCGTGCCTGTGGCCTGGTTTGCAGTGGTATTTATAGTATTTGTCGTTGTGTGCAATGCGATATTAGTTTCCATCCAAAATGTGTTTTACCATCAGAAGCTAAATCAAAGTATCATAGGCATCCACTTATCCTAACAGAACCGGTCAAAGAAGATGATTCTGATGAATTTTGTTGTGATGTTTGCGAGAAGGAAAGAGATCCGAAGCATCCTGTCTATTACTGTCAAAGTTGCACCTTTGTTGCTCATATTCAATGTCTACTCCCTGAGGTAATAATTCTTTTCACCATTCAATTTAATTTATGCAGTAAAAATATGGAAGTTATTCGCTTTGATTAGACTCTCGTGATTCATATTTTGTTCGGTGAATAGGATCAAATTGCATCCTCCATGGAAAGCGAGGAAGCCTTGTCCGAGAAGCAAATTGAGCAGAATGAAGGGAGTGGTGGCATCCACACACTGGTTTGCAATTATTCTGCCTACGCAAAATTAAGATATATATATATATATATATATATATAATTCTCAAGAAATGAGTTTGTTCATCCTTTGATATTATTGTTTCTTTTTAAATGCAGTTTGAAACTTTCATTCACGAACATGAAATGTACGAGGTAACCGAGGAGTTGAAAGGCGAAAAATATTGTCGAGGTTGTCGTCTGGTACTTAATGGTCCTAGCTACTTCTGTAAATGTTGTGGTGACTTTTACCTGCATGAAAAATGCACTAAATTGCCATACCAGATACGACATCCTTTTCATTCTACCCATCCTCTATACCTCTATGCTTCGACTCTTCTTCAGTTATGGAGAACTATATTCATTACATGTGATGAGTGTAAAGACATCAGTGAAGGCTTCATATATTTGTGCGAGCAGTGTGATTTCAAGCTTGATGTGAAATGCGCTGCTTTAACATCTCATGAAACTGGGGTTTCACGAGAAAAGAAGCTAGATAGAGTAGCCGAGTTGCACCATTTCAGTCACAACCATAAGCTTGTCCTTGGCTACTACAATGACCGTATAACAGACGAAAAATGCACAATTTGTGAATTGCCAATCTTTGGTCCAGTCTATTTTTGCTCCGAGTTCGATTGCCTTTTTATTGTTCACGAGTCTTGCCTTAGGCTACCACGAAAGATTCAAGTCCCATTTCATTTAAAACATATGTTGGTCATCCAAAAATCTCAGAAGTTCTCAGACGCACCATGTTATGCCTGCCCTTTGAGCATAAAATCATATAACTTTACGTATAGTTGTGAAGATTGTCGACTTGATCTCCATCCTATATGTGCTAGGTACTTAAAGAGACCCTTGAAATGTGAGTCCCACTTAGATGACCTTTATTATTTCGGGACAGATTATTAGTTAATTCGTACAAAGTACTCCTATAAATCATGGGAAACACAATTTTCCTGTCATAAATGTGAAGGAAGTTGTAAAGGAGAGCCCTTTTATCGTTGTCTACGGTGTTCCTTCAACTTTCATTTGAAATGTGTTCCCATACCAGACACTGTCAAATCCAAATATCACCGTCATCCTCTAACCCTGACGGATTCCTTTGTTGAAGATGATTCTGAAAAGCATTATTGTGATTTCTGTGAGGAAGAAAGAAACCCAAAAGATCATGTATATTATTGTAAAGAATGTGACGGCCAGACCATCGCTCACATAGAATGTGTTATCACTAGAGAAGTAAGTTAATTACATCTCTGACTTCTTAAGTATAAAGATGCAATATTTTTTTGTCGCTGTGGCAAATAACTAACGGTTGTAAAGAGAGTTCGCAGATGAAGCGACGTGAAGAGCTCCAATCACAACCAATGCCTGTTTCTCTTCAACCCGCTGTTGAGAAAGAGGTGCACCTCTATTTTAATGTTTTCTCGTTCCATTTTTCTGTAAATTTTGATATGCTAACTGGTTGTGTCCTTGACTTGATTGGCCATTGGGTTGTTGTCATAACGTTCACTTACTTGACCTCAGCTGGGAGCTATTCCGGCCATGGTTAGGAGTGCTTGGAGTGATGATAAATATCTGCAGCTTAAGGCAACCATTCAATTCAGGAATTTGCTTTCAATTGGTGAGAAAATAATGCTTCAAAATATTTCGTTTCAAACTGATTTGAATTATATACTTCAAATCCTTTTGCTATTTATCATAGAAAAAAGTCCACCTATTGACAAAGTGATACAAGCTGGAGTTGTTCCTCGCTTCGTTGAGTTCCTTGAGAGGGAAGATTTCCCACAGCTTCAGGTTGGATTTCCTGTCTGCAGAGCTTCAATATCATGTTATTACTAGTTTAATATATTGTAAGATAGTTACTACTAATTCAAAAATTATTAGTTTGAGGCAGCCTGGGCTCTCACAATTATTGCTTCCGGAACATCTGAGAACACAAAGGTGGTAATCGATCATGGAGCTGTTCCAGTATTCGTCAAGTTACTTGGGTCCCCAAGTGATGATGTTAGCGAGCAGGTATACATGCATATGGAATGAATTCATTCAAGTTTTATAATCTTAAACATTAAGTGTTTTATAATTAAATTTGTTGTTTTGAAATCCAGTCTATGCGGGCACTGGGAAATGTTTCCGGTGATTCTCCAACAACTCGTGATGCTGTTCTTGGACATGGTGTTTTGCTGCCTTTGTTGGCTAATTTGAACGAGAATGCTAGGCTTTCGGTGCAGAGAATTGCCACATGGACCCTGTCAATGTTTTTGCGGGGCAAGCCCCGACCCAGCTTTCATAAGGTTAGACCCTACTTCCCTTCTTCTTTTTGGGGAAACTGTCGTTGGTTTAACATGAATTAGCGAAGTTAATGTCTAATAATATTGCTTTACAATGAAGAATCATTGTATTATATATTTGGATTAAACTATGCATTGCAATGAACTACTAACATTAAACTAGAAATTGATTTGTATCGATTATAATCATACTTATTATTCAGGTGAAGCCTGCACTTCCTACATTGGCACGTCTTATTCATTCAAATGATGAACAAGTCTTGTGCGATGCATGTTGGGCACTCTCGTATGTTTCTGATGGCACAAATGACGAGATCCAAGCTGTTATCGAAGCGGGTGTATGCGGGCCTCTGGTGGAACTTTTGGTGTGAGTTAGATTATTTTCTGTTGATCGATTCTGAGAGATTCTATTTTGATTATTTTGTTTGTTTTCATTACCAAAATCAAAACTTATTTTGCTTCCATAGGCACCCATCTCTTTCGGTGCGAAAACCTGCTCTTCGCACAGTTGGAAACATTGCCTCTGGAGATGATGAGCAAACCCAAGTATTGGACTCTGTTTTATTTTTTATTTTCATTTTACATATATATAATATGAACCATTTTGTTTTTTTCCCATTTATGGGTTAAACCTTGTTGGTACGCAGTGCATTATCAGTCATCAGGCATTGCCATGCCTGTCAAAACTTTTGACCAATGACCATGAAATGAGCATTAAGAAGGAAGCCTGTAGGACAATCTCAAATATCTCATCCGGAAATAAGGAGCAAATGCAGGTAATATTTTGACCTCTACGATTTGCTTGCATTGATTTGTACAGTGAAAGGATATTCAATGCCATGAATTTTACCGGCTGTGATTGAAGCTGATATTATTGCTCCTCTGGTTCATCTGCTTCAAAATGCTGAATTTGATATTAAGAGAGAAGCTGCACGGGCCATCTCAAATGCGACATCCGTTGGTACTCATGATCAGATCAGGTATGAAAACGGTTTCCTATATATTAATTGTCTGAAATCATGTCTTGACAGGATGTCAATGATAAATTACCTCATCTGGGGTGGTACATATCACAAATGTTGTAGGTTCCTTGTAATCCAAGGTTGCATCAAGCCGTTGTGTGATCTTCTTTTATGTCGCGATCCGATTACAGTTAAAGTTTGCTTGAAAGGGATTGAAAACATTCTCAAGGTAGGAGAAGATGATAAAATTACGGGCACAACCGAAGGAGTGAATCTCTATGCACAAATAATTAGTGATGCAAGGGGTCGAGAAAAGATCGAGTCTATACGGTCTCTTTACGGATGGGATTATGAATGCCGTAAGAGTGAATTGTATCCCGACACCATTGAGACTTATGAAAAGGCTGTGGAAATTCTTCAGAGATATTGGTCCAAGTAAGATGATGCCACTCAATCAAGGTTTAATTCTGGAGGGATGAGTCCTTTTTACTTTCATGGAGATATGTATAGAAATGAAAAGATCAGGTTATCTGTTCAATACTGTCATATATTTTAATAAATATATATCACTGTATTCGATATAGTGCTCTCTAATTTTATTATTTTTAGTCTTTATAGTTCTGTTATATTATACTTGTATTATTTGAGGCAAGACTGAATTTTATTTTGAACAATGGCAACTGAATATGTAAGAGCATATGACCTATAAGTTCCTCATCACAAATCAGCCTTTCAATTATATACATGTAAGAGCATAATAGACATATATGCTATAAGTTCTTCATCACAAATCAACCTTTCAATTATATACATGTAAGAGCAAGAGAGAAAACAGTAGATTCCACTGAAGCAGCCATCAATGTGGCTAAGGCCTAAAGGAAGGGTGATTACAAGCAGAAAATAACATCGAAATAATTAATCAAAAAAATCACACTACAAAGCCTTGAAATGGACATCAGGGAAGGACTTGCATACCACATAACCGTGTTTTCCCGTCTTTTAATGGTTCCCCACTTCCTTCCATTTGGAGTCTTTCAGAATAACTCGATATTTTATGGTCTTCACTTGTCTTAATCTGTTTACCGTCCACACTGTCATAAAATTGTGTTAGGTATGGCTCATAAATATACCAGTAAAGAGGACAGGAGATGGAGCGGAGTGAGCGAAGCGAACATCAACTGTCCTTACAAAGAAAGTCTCGTTGTGGGGTTACAAATTATGTGGGTTGGGGGTGCGGGGGCGCAGCCCCCGCGGTACGGTACAGTGTTGATTTTGTAATTATGTACCAGGGTTTTCTATTATAAATAGAGATGTAACCTAGACCTAAAAAAAAATCATTGAATAAAACTTCTAGCGCCGCCTAGGCACCGAGGACGTAAGCACATTGCCGAACCTCGTAAAATTCTCGTGTTCTTTCGTTTTCTTTACCCGTTTTCGTCAACAATTGGTATCAGAGATCAGGAGCAAAATTCGAAGTCGCGAAATTCGATGGTCAGGGTAACTTCGGATTATGGCAAACGAGGGTGAAGGATCTATTGGCGCAGCAAGGGATCTTGAAGGCTTTGCGACCTACAAAGCCGGCGTCGATGGATGAGGAAGATTGGGAAGAATTGCAGCAGCGAGCGGCAGGAACCATACGATTATGCTTGGCGGACGAGGTCATGTATCACGTCATGCATCTATCGTCTCCAGACGAAATTTGGAGGAAGTTGGAAAGTCAGTTTATGTCCAAATCCTTAACGACAAAACTGTATCTGAAGCAGCGGTTGTATGGGCTGAAGATGCAGGACGATCACGATTTGGCGCAACACGTGAATGTCTTCAATCAAATCATTTCTGATATGGCTCGGCTTGATGTGAAAATTGAGGATGAAGACAGAGCGATGATTCTGTTGTGTTCGTTGCCTTCCTCTTACGAACACATGGTGACTACTCTTACATATGGGAAAGAGACTATCAACGTTGAGGAGATTACTGCAGCCTTGTTAGCTCACAACCAGCGGAAGCAGAATGCAGGGGAAAGCTCTCAAGCCGATAGCTTATATGTCAAGGGTAATCGAGATCGTGGACGGAAGCCAGAGAAGGTAGGGTCCGGGAAGCGGAATTCCAGATCCAAATCCAGGGATAAGAAGACGATTCACTGTTACAAGTGCAAGGAGGCGGGACATATGAAGCGAGACTGTCCGAAGTTGAAAAAGCAGACTGATGAGAAGCGTGATGGCTCATCCAAGTCTGTGAACGTGGTCGAGGATGATACTTCTGATTGCAGTGAGGGTGATATGCTTTCTATTTCAACGACACAATTGACAGATGCTTGGATTCTTGATTCTGGATGTTCTTATCACATCACGCCAAATAGGGAATGGTTTTTGACATACAGGCCGGTTAATTCTGGTTCGGTTTATTTGGGTGATGATCGATGTTGCAATATTGTTGGTATTGGTGATGTCAGAATTAAGATGCACGATGGCTCCGTTCGGACGTTGAGTGGTGTTCGACATATCCCAGACTTGAAGAAGAATTTGATTTCCTTGGGCACTTTGCACAAGAATGGTTTTATCCCTAAGGCTGACGAGGATAGGGAAACCATTCGGATTGTTAAAGGAGCATTGACTGTGATGAAAGGCAAGATGACTGCAGGGAATATCTACAGATTGTTAGGGAGTACCGTTGCAGGTGGAGTTCACTCTGTTGAGTCCTGTGATGATACGACAAGCTTGTGGCATATGCGCCTTGCTCATCTTAGTGAACGTGGTATGGCAGAATTACACAAGAGAAACTTGTTGCATGGTGTCAAAAGCTGTAAGCTCGATTTTTGCAAGTATTGTGTTCTTGGTAAACAGACTAAAGTCCGTTTCAAGACTGCGAAGCACACAACTCAAGGGATTCTTGATTATGTGCATCCTGATGTATGGGGGCCTTCCACGACATCGTCTTTGGGTGGATCTAGGTACTATGTTACTTTTATTGATGATTTTTCACGGAAAGTTTGGGTGTATTTTTTGAAACAGAAATCTGAAGTTTTTGAGAAGTTCAAGCTATGGAAAGCTGAGGTAGAAAACCAAACAGGACGAAAAATCAAGTGTTTGCGGTCTGACAATGGTACGGAGTACACAGATTCACAGTTCCTACAATTCTGTAAGGAGCATGGGATTCAGAGGCATTTTACAGTGCGCAAGACACCACAACAGAATGGTGTTGCGGAACGAATGAACAGGTCGTTGAATGAAAGAGCCAGATGTTTGCGGTTGAATGTGGGGCTTCCCAAACACTTATGGGCTGAGGCTGTTAACATGGCGTGTTACCTTATCAACAGATCGCCAAGGGCATCGCTGGCTGGGAAAGTTGCAGAAGAGGTATGGACTGGTCATGATGTTAGTTTTGATAACTTACGGATTTTTGGTTGTCCTGCTTATGTGCATGTACCTGCTGATGAGAGATCCAAACTTGATGCAAAATCGAAGGAGTGCATTTTTCTGGGTTACAAGAAAGGTGTCAAAGGATTCAAGTTCTGGGATCCAGTTGTGAAGAAAGTTGTGATTAGTAGAGATGTCGTTTTTGATGAACAGTCTATGTTGCAGCAGAAGCAAGACACGACAGTGGTAGATTTCGAGCAGTTTCCAGTTGAGAAACCAGAAACTTCTCAACCGACTTCTGGTGGTTCCACTACGGATGATTTGCAGGATTATAGTCTCGCCAGAGACAGGGTGAGACGGACGAATATAAAGCCTCCGAACAGATTGGGTTTTGAAGACTTGGTATCTTTTGCACTTACTGTTAGCAATGATGATCCAGTTACTTTTCATGATGCCGTTACTAGTCAGGAAAACGACAAGTGGATGGCAGCCATGGTTGAGGAGATGTAGTCTTTGAATCACAATCGCACATGGGAGTTAGTTCCCCTTCCTGAGGGTAAGAAGCCGATTGGTTGCAAATGGGTGTATAAGAAGAAACCAGCAGTAACAGAAAAAGATGGGGAGAAGTTCAAGGCTCGTTTGGTAGCGAAGGGTTTTTCACAGTAGAAAGGAGTTGATTATGATGAAATCTTTTCTCCTGTGGTCAGGCACACTTCAATCCGAGCAGTACTTGCATTGGTGGCTAGTTGGGATTTGCATTTAGAGCAGATGGATGTTAAAACTGCTTTTTTGCATGGTGATTTAGAGGAGCAGATCTACATGCGGCAACCTGAAGGTTTCACTCAACCTGGAAACGAGCATTTAGTTTGCAGATTGAAGAAATATTTGTACGGGTTAAAACAGTCTCCGAGACAGTGGTATAAACGGTTTGACTCCTATATGATCAAGATTGGCTACAACCGATGTGAGTATGATTGTTGTGTCTATGTTAAGAGCCTTGATGATGGTTCTTTTATTTTTCTATTACTGTATGTTGATGATATGTTGATTGCTGCGAAGAACATGGATGATGTTATCAGTTTGAAAACTTTATTGAGTCAGGAATTTGATATGAAAGATTTAGGTGCTGCAAAGAAAATTCTTGGAATGGAAATTTGCAGGGACAGAGACTCAAGGAAACTGCGGCTATCTCAACGGGGTTATGTTGAGAAAATGCTAGAAAGGTTTGCGATGAGCAGCGCGAAACCAGTTAGCACTCCATTGGCGAATCACTTTAAGCTCTCATCAGAACAGTGCCCTAAGACAGATAAGGAAGCTGAAAAATATGGCAAAGGTTCCGTATTCTAATGCTGTTGGCTGCTTGATGTATGCGATGGTATGTACTCGTCCTGATTTAGCTCATGCTGTTAGTCAAGTTTGTAAGTACATGTCTAAACCTGGTAAGCAACATTGGGATGCAGTCAAGTGGATCTTTCGGTACTTAAAGGGTACTGTGGGACATGGAATTGTTTTTGGGAGTCAGCGGGATAATCCTTTGGTTGTAGGATATGTGGATTCAGATTATGCAGGTGACTTGGATAATAGAAGATCTACGACAGGGTATGTGTTTACTCTTGGTGGAGGGCCTATTTGCTGGAAGTCTACTGTTCAATCTGTCGTGGCACTATCTACAACTGAAGCTGAATACATGGCAGCGGCTGAAGCTGCAAAAGAAGCTTTATGGCTTACTGGTTTAGTGAAGGAGTTGGGTGTTCAACAAGATGGAGTTCAGTTGCTTTGTGATAATCAAAGTGCTATTCACTTGGCTAAGAATCAGGTGTATCGTGCTAGAACTAAACATATTGATGTAAGGTTCCACAAGATCAGAGAGTTTGTTGCATCTGGAGAGGTTTTGTTTCAGAAGGTACATACTGATGAGAATGCCGCTGATATGTTCACCAAGCCAGTTACGACAGACAAGTTCAAGCATTGCTTGGACTTGTTGAATGTTTCGAGTTGTTAAAGAAGCAAGGTAACCCAACCCACATTGAAGTTTCCAAGGGGCAGGATATTCGCCAAGGTGGAGATTTGTTAGGTATGGCTCATAAATATACCAGTAAAGAGGACAGGAGATGGAGCGGAGTGAGCGAAGCGAACATCAACTGTCCTTACAAAGAAAGTCTCGTTGTGGGGTTACAAATTATGTGGGTTGTGGATGCGGGGGCGCAGCCCCCGCGGTACGGTACAGGGTTGATTTTGTAATTATGTACCAGGGTTTTCTATTATAAATAGAGATGTAACCTAGACCTAAAAAAAAAATCATTGAATAAAACTTCTAGCGCCGCCTAGGCACCGAGGACGTAAGCACATTGCCGAACCTCGTAAAATTCTCGTGTTCTTTCGTTTTCTTTACCCGTTTTCGTCAACAAATTGTATTTGGTCATAAGTACTCTTACCATAAGAGAAGCATCATTATAACAGTGGAATTTGATCATAAAATAACTTAGTAACCTTAAAGATCGTACCAATTGGAATAATAAAGAATAGAAATGCATACTTCATAAAACAAGCTGAATGTCCAACATTTGCACATTGTGCGAAAAATTT